GCACACACAAGTTGCGGATCCACAACCCTCGAAGAGCAAAGTGGAAAACCAAAAATTCAAGATATCAATCTTGATGAGGCAAGTGATTCCAGATGCAACACATGAATAAGGGACTGCGTGAATTCCTAAACTCTGAAGGGTGAGCCAGATCAGACCCCCCAACACACTTCTAAGAGTCACAAGCCAACAAGCAACACAGTGTCACATGCCCTTATCTTTAACCAAACCTGCACTGAGAGGCCACAATCAAGACCCTCGCTTCCGCCATGGGAACCACCCACAACACACTACCAGATTATGGGACTTACGCCCCTTCGTGCTCTGCATATATGCCCATGAAGGGTTCACCGAGCACCACAACCTTCCGTGCAGAACGTGCCACAGTAGAAGGCACGACAATTCCGAGGGATCCCCGCAACAAACCAACTCTGCACTGTGAGGCCAGGCCGGCACCTCAACAGAACACTTTCCCGAGGGACAAGGCGACAGGAGAAACATTGCTGATTGATTCGACCACGACCGCCCCATGGCTCCAACCGTGTTGAACAGCCCAGGGTGCACTTCCGGATGCTTGGGAACTTGACCCATGCATGGTGCTGCGGATACGCCCAAGAAGGGTTCACCGAGCACCACAACCTTCCGTGAACAACGGGCCTCGGTAGAAGCAACGACAATTCCGAGGGATCCCCGCAACAAACCAACCCTGCACTGTGAGGCCAGGCCGGCACCTCGACAGAACACTTTTCCGAGGGACAAGGCGACAGGAGAAACATTGCTGATTGATTCGACCACGTCCGCCCCATGGCTCCAACCGTGTTGAACAGCCCAGGGTGCACTTCCGGATGATTGGGAACTTGACCCATGGTGCTGCGGCTACGCCCATGAAGGGTTCACCGAGCACCACAACCTTCCGTGCAGAACGGGCCACAGTAGAAGCCACGACAATTCCGAGGGATCCCCGCAACAAACCAACTCTGCACTGTGAGGCCAGGCCGGCACCTCAACAGAACACTTTCCCGAGGGACAAGGCGACAGGAGAAACATTGTTGATTGATTCGACCACGACCGCCCCATGGCTCCAACCGTGTTGAACCGCCCAGGGTGCACTTCCGGATGCTTGGGAACTTGACCCTTCGTGCCTGAAGATATTACCAAAACCATCCGTGCAGATCAGGCCACACATGAACACACGACAATTCCGAGGTATCCGCAACAACCCATCTCGGCACTGTGAGGCCAGGCAGGCACCTCAACAGCGCACACTTTTCCGAGGGACAGGCAACAGGGGACACGTTGCTGATGGCCTCAACCACAAACGCGCCATGGCCTCAACCATGTTCAACCGCCAAAAGTGCACTTCCGGATGCTTGGAAACTTGCCCCTTCGTGCTACGGCCATGCCCATTAGAGCAACACCTAGCGCCACATCCTTCCGTGCAGAACGGGTCACACGAGAAGCCTCGGCACGTCCGAGGGATGCCCACAACTACCCATCTCGGCACTGTGAGGCCAGGCCGGCACCTCAACAGAGCACACATTTCCGAGGGACGAGGCGACTGCAGAGACGATGCTGATGGCCTCAACCACTACCGCGCCATGGCCTCAACCATGTTCAACCGCCAAAAGTGCACTTCCGGATGCTTGGACACTTGCCCCTTCGTGCTACGGCTATGCCCATTAAGGCAACACCTAGCGCCACATCCTTCCGTGCAGAACGGTCCACACGAGAAGCCTCGGCACGTCCGAGGGATGCCCACAACTACCCATCTCGACACTGTGAGGCCGGGCCGGCACCTCAACAGAGCACACATTTCCGAGGGACGAGGCGACTGGAGAGACGTTGCTGATTGCTTCAACCTTGGCCTTGCCTCGGCTTCGACCGTGCTGAACCGCCCAGAGTGCACTTCCGGATGTTTGGGAACTTGCCCCTCAGTGCTACGGATATGCCACTGAAGGGAACGCGTAGACCCACATCCTTCCGTGCCGAACGGGTCACACTAGAAGCATCGGCGCGTCCAAGGGATGCGCACAACCACCCATCTCCGCACTGTGAGGCCAGGCCGGCACCTCAACAGAGAACACTTTTCCGAGGGACGAGGCGACTGGAGAGACGTTGCTGATTGCTTCAACCATGGCCTTGCCTTGGCTTCGACCGCGTTGAACCGCCCAGAGTGCACTTCCGGATGTTTGGGAACTTGCCCCTCAGTGCTACGGATATGCCACTGAAGGGAACGCGTAGACCCACATCCTTCCGTGCCGAACGGGTCACACTAGAAGCCTCGGCGCGTCCGAGGGATGCGCACAACTACCCATCTCGGCACTGTGAGGCCAGGCCGGCACCTCAACAGAGCACACTTTTCCGAGGGACGAGGCGACTGGAGAGACGTTGCTGATCGCGTCAAACACGGCCGCGCCTTGGCTTCGACCATGATGAACCGCCCATAGTGCACTTCCGGATGATTGGGAACTTGCCCCCTTCGTGCTAAGGATATGCCCGTGAA